CTGTGGGTTGCCCCGCCCGTAAAATCCCCTATACCACCATTCAACGTGCGTCACGGTCCACAGACTGGCTAAAGTTAGTTTGAGGTCCTACACCCTGTCGTCGCCGAGAGAAGGCAAGTTTCTTTACTTCGCTACGTTTATTAACCGTTTTATACTGTGTACAGGTATTAATCTCCACACGCAGCTCCCGTGGTCATCACCTCCAACGGTCACAACAGACATGCGCGCAGTGACCGATGTCAGTCACGCACTTTGCCACTGCAGTTTGTATACTAGACATTGGGCCTCGAGCCGCACGCACCGGCGCGTAAACACACGACCAATCACCTCAGCCACCGATTGATGCAAGTTGCAAGGGCAGACTTAGTCGCCAGGCCCGTTGGTGACCTCAAAGGGACATGCACGTGGGTATATTCCATACAGTAATGAGAAATGTTGCCCCAGGCGACAGAGAATGCCTGTATTCCATGTCGGTCAGACAGGTCGGGTAACGACTGCTTCTGGCACTGAGTGTAATCGTTGCGAACGTGAACAGCGTGGGCCAGAAGACATCGGTAACGAAACCATTTTCAGTAGAGCTGTCGCTGGTCCGCGAAGAAGGTAGGGGAGGAGAGTAAGACCGGTATTGCGTAATTTTTACTCACTTAAATCCAAATACCGTTAAGTCCGCAAATAGTTTTTAATCTAATTATGATTATCACGGTTGTAAGGGCGTGGTTTCGGCGGTACTTGAGGTCGGCGGCCATGACAACCAGACGTCCTCGAAAGCTGGTCTTCATGCGAACTGCGTTCGTGAAGCCTGGATCGTTCTAAGAGGTAAATCACCAGCGACTCGAGCGACCCTAACCCATTTTCTGTGGCAAACAACCCTCATTGCACCCTACCTCAGTGTTCAGACAGGTCGAGACTGCTCAGTTTTACCACAAAGGCTGTTGTTGCAGAGGCGTCGCACCTAATCCCGCACATGCTGACCTGCGGCCTCTCAAGTGATTTCGACTCAGACACACGTGCGTCCATGTAAGATCCGAGCGCTCTACCTCTCGGCTAGCACAACACGTGTGCAGTTCGACCGTGGCAAACGACGACTTCCGACGCGTGTCAATGGAGTTAGGGCGGTACCGGTGAATTGGGCGTGAATGGGTTTATAGAGATGCAGACTTGCGCGACATTTACCGCGCACTTTCTTCCCTCACCCACTACGTCGATGACAGGACAGTGTCAAGATGACGGGATTTGAACGAAAACCACAAGGACTGACAAGGTTAAACAACCCGTCTACGAGTGCCACACCCGAGCGCGGGTCTCACATGCGTGAGAATGTCGCAAAAGCCACAGTGAGAGACAGCCAGTGCGACCTGACTCTCAGTCTTCCAGTCACTCCGAAATTCTCACCATTAGGAACGAGTTATACCATCAGAAGGCAAACCTCCAAGTTATGATTCCATGTGCGCCAATATAAATTCAATCGCGTCAAATTTATTACAGCGAAGAATGTGCTGATTTGCCGTGGGGAAAGGTTCTCCAGCGTAGGCCACAAATACAACCTCTCTCACCTCAAATGCACTAACTTGATGTATGAGCCTCTCTGCCAACAGGTGGCTTGTGGTACCCCAAAGCGGAATGGGGTTTTGAGAAGCGCTGGATCAAGATGGAAGTCAGGTCGTCACATGGCCCGCGGCAATCTACCTGCACTGGGCCCGTGCGAGGCAATAACAACCGCCATATTTTTTCATTGTGAAATTTACTCCGCATCAGCCACGCCGCGTCACAATCCCAGCACCAGATGTTGACAGGCTCGGACAGTGCATGAGAGAAAGGAGTGGGAGAGGGAGAGCGAGAACGCGACTGTCACTAGGACCGCATAAATCCTCACGACAGAGAAGCGCATTTCTCCCCACAACAAATCTGACGCGCCTGCACCTGTCATCACCCTGCGGGAGTCGTGACTTGGCAGGATGCCAACTGAGGGGATGAATTGCATCTTCACAGGACTGCCAGCCATGCCGCAATGGCTCCTTCTTAATATGGAAGTCTCACGCACGTGAGGTCTGAGCGGGACTCATGTACTTGAGACCAGATTGCGTTTGACTCGCCAAGACTTGTTGTTTAACTTTTTCAACCACTGCAATTAAGACCGCTCCCGTTCACCTTGAAATTTTCCTGTCATTGAGAACAGGGGGATGAGAAAGGAGAGAGAGAGAGAGAGAGTGAAGAAGATGCTGCGCAAGTCTGCCTCATTATGAATAGTTTCGCATGCAAGCCATCGCCTTACGTCCATACCGCGGCGGACGTGAGGGACGTCGTCGTTCGCGATAGTTGAATTATTGCCAAAGTTGGGGGACATGGCATTAGCTGTGGACTCACACGGATATTGCGCTGCCCGCTAAACTAGGACCATGAGCCAGTCTTAGCCCCCGTTTTGGTCCAGCTAATCCGCCGCAACGAAGACCACTGTAAGGCCATACGCACGATAGTTCAACCGTCGTGACCAACGATGTCCACCGTGTGCTCCACGACAAGGGTGATATGCACGCGAACTATGTTACAATGACAGTAATGTTGCACAGCATCTACTGCACTCTCTCTTCCTACCCCACCTACATCCAGTGCCATGATCAAGTCAAGAAGACCAGAGGTGAGAGAGGACGTAGGTGACCGGCTCGGCCGGAGCCACCCCCAGGTGGGCCGCCAAATCCGTCCTGGATCCTATTACTGTAAAGGATATTCCCAGAAATATCCACTTTTGTACTCTATTTGTGGTAAAGTACGTTTTTGTCCCATTTTCTACTCAAAGAAAAAGCATCTTTTGGTTTGAAAAAAATTTTAATTACGAGTTGTATTGAGACCGTGAAATGCCTATTCAAATAGCCTCAAATTGGCTTATTTATCAATGCGCCTGGTCCACATCCATTGTAAAGTTTAGTGGACATTGTGTGGGCCCTTCTTAGTAGCTTCGAGGAATGTATGATCTCCCTTAAATGGGGGGTTGTTGGTTAAAAGATTGAGAACACTAGACACAAGTGTAAGGGCAGGTTGGCTTAAGAATATTGAAATGTTTTTTTTTAAAAAAACCGGAAGACACCCTTTCTCATAGGATAAAATGTAAAAAATATGTCATTTTATTCAAAAGGCTTACAAGAAAGGATAGTTTGTGCATGCTTTCCGCAAAATATGTCTGGATTTTCAAAGACATGAAAATTCACTGAAAAAGAAAACTGATAAAGTAGTCGCGAGGAGGGTCGACAGAGAATGCGGGTAGATTGATACAGCACTGTTTCGGGCTTATTCTGCCTTCATTCAGCCAATCATAACCCTGACCACCAGCAGTTGAGACCAGAAACACAAACATGCTCACAGACGCACCTGGCGCAGTCGGTCCACCACTGAGGCCTACCAGATGGGTCATAAGCACTTCATCGAGCCGAAGTTCATCAGTGCCTCGCTACCTGTCATTCTATGTCGTTGCAGATGGGGTATGAGTGACAGGTGGCGAGGTACTGATGAACTTCGGTTCGATGAAGTGCTTATGAACAATCTGGTAGACCACAGTGGTGGACCAACCGCGCCAGGTGCGTCTGTGCGTATGTTTGTGTTTCTGGTCCCAGCTGCTGGTGGTCAGGGTTATGATTGGCTGAATGAAGGCGCAATAAGCCCGAAACAGTACTGTATCAATCTACCCGCATTCTCTGTCGTCCCTCCTTGCTGCTCTTATGACTTGACCGACTTCGGCGAGGTAGTTGGTTGCCTGTTCGTGACCTTTGCCACCCATACGGAGCTTGTTTGCTTCGTGAAGTCAATAGATCGGTGTGCACCCATTCCTGATTGATAAAGTAGTCATTTTGCAAGTGGTATGTGCCGGTAAGACGCGCATTCAAAATTCATCCCTTTGGCTAGACTGAGATATCTCAGGAATGTCCGGTATGATTGTCAGCATTGTGACACCACTTAAGTCATTCTCTCTGACCGAAATCACATTTAAGATTTTCGGCTAACATCTCGTGCTGCATGATAACATGAACCTGTGCTGGAGTTAACGACTTGCCTGCGTCTTTGAATAATAGCAGGCTTAGCCATGTCCTTGAGCCTCGAGGCACAAGAATTGCTTGCATTATTCCGGTCAAAACAGCCCGTAAAACACAACTGCTGACGAGGGTTAGACGATATGGACAGGGGGAGGGTGATAAAATTGGCAACCAGCGCGGTCGAACCAATAGCATCAGCGGAGTTATGGCCATTAGAGACTTATAGGGAGTTAGCAGGCCGGCAAAGACAGCAGGACGAAGAGGATGACTAATTACGACCGCGATGTAAACAACCTCACGAGTTTGTGGGCGCTCTAGTCGTGGACCGAAATGCCCGAGTTCATTCTTTCCTCTCGGCGTTGCAGAAACCGCATATAAGGCTGATTTTTGTTTTATTCAATAAGCAATCTTTTATTGATGCTACCTGTCGGTCTACTATGAGAAATCAGTTCACTTAGACGAGGGTCTGTTCGACTAATGTGGGGAAACGTGGTCTACTCTTGGAGATTCCGAAAAGACTCTATCCAGGGGACTAAACGTATGAGGGCTTGTTTGCCACATAAATCAAAATGATAGATGGAAACAGAGGGAGACATTTATTTCGTCACAAACAGCGTCCTGCTATGCGTGCTCATATATTGCATCCTGCCTTTAATTAGAACTTCCAAGTGCACCAAGGCTCGGTTGAAGAAACTAGCAGCGTGACGACGGTTGCTGACTGCGAGTAGCGATAACTGGTAACCGTATCGTGCAGATGATTTGGGTTCACATATGCCTGCCGCATTTGATTATTTTATTTGTAACCGCAGTAAGGACAAAAATACGATACAAAGTTCGATAAACCTCTTGTAATACGTAATCGGTTTTTTTGGATGAGAGCGTCCTACCGTAATTTACTGCTCATTTGGGTTGGTGAATCAAGATCCTCCATCCGGAAGATCACACAAAATTATGATGGATGAAGCAAGACTGACCGACTTACTTTCTGGCTTTCCATACGCATGAATTAACATCATCATCATCATCATCATCATCATCATCATCATCATCATCATCATCATCATCATCATCATCATCATCATCATCATCATCATCATCATCATCATCATCATCATCATCATCATCATCATCATCATCATCATCATCATCATCATCATCATCATCATCATCATCATCATCATCATCATCATCATCATCATCATCATCATCAACATCATCATCATCATCATCATCGTCATCATCCTCGTCATCATCGCATGGAATTTCTAAAGGATCGGATTTGCACTCGATTATGTGGAATTTTTACTGACAAATGCTGGAGCACTGGGGTCACCATTTCTGCCTTACTGGCCTGTTGCAGCAGTTAAGTTCATGAGCAAACCCCAATTACTACAGTGCTTAGGTCAAGTAGGAGAAGAAAACAGACTCCAGTAGAGAGAGGGAGAGCGTACTGCATTGGGTACAGAATAATGGGTTAGTCTGGTGGTTGGAGTACAGCGTCACAGTGAGCTTCGCAGTGTCACAAGAACTAATTGTCGTCGGTGTGCAGATGTAAACCTGCGAAGGCGCAGCGATACAACAGAAGCCGGAGACCGGATAATTACAGGCCATCGTTAGCTTGTGATACTTTAACTCCTGGGTGGGATTCACTGCAGCTCGGGTGGACACACAGATCGGCCGAGTTCTTTTTTCTGATCGGTGGCACTATACGTACTTTTTGTACCACACATATTTGATCCGTCCTATATAGGACTAAGTTTAGGCAGGCGCACCACTATTACAAAGCCACAGCTCAGCCCTCCCCCGCGGGGGTTCTGTGCGTTTTTTGCGATGGATACCACTCCCCCCATCCCCTACAGGCTCCATTGTGTCGCCCACATCGTCGGAATCCGCCTCGGATCCCGGACCAGATGGACCTAACCCGCGAAAACAGAGGTGATGCTGTGGTCAGGTCGTCCTGGGGACCGTTACTACCTACCTGCTCCTCCATTCACCTCACAAACTCTTCTTTTTGAAAGAGAGACAGTGAGAAGTTCCGTAGGAAACAGTGTCCATAGTTTTATGTATCCTTTTCGTGGGTGGGACAGAAACGCAGGGACCCAGCGGAACACTTTTACCGTCTCTCGTACGACTGTGGCGTGGTAGCCTGGCGTACGAGCGTCGTGGCAACGACAGTGTGCGGTTGTGTGAGTCAAGGTAGCCACTGTGGTCACGTAGGCATGCCAGAGGGTCAGCGATCGAAAGTCAGTCATGCGCGACTGTCAACAGACAAGCAGGCAGGCACCGGCAGTGCTCGCGCTACGATTGGTCGACATGGCGGCCGATTGTGCGAATTTAGCGGCCGAGGACGACAAGGATAGTACACACACCGAGGTAGCGAGACACTGGGAATAGATCCTAGCTAAGATCGATCTGAATAGGGTCTTTAACATGTCAAAATACTCCTCTATACGAAAGGCAGGAAGAAAGCTCAACTAGGCAGAGAAGGAATTGAAACTGGGGATACATATAAGGGCGGTTAATTGTGCAAACGGGATGAGTTACAACAATAAAGTAACCTGCCTGGATGGTGAGGCGACGCTGACATGCCTACTAAACAACCGGTGGGGAGCGCAGCGCTGTGGGCCACCGCAGGGGAGGGCCGAGGGAGGTGTCGATGCAGAGATCGAGAGAAGCGGACGTTACGGCGAGTTGGGGGAAGTGGATCGGTGGTAGCGAGAGGGAAGGGTACCGGCCTTATTCAACGACACACAGTTACACCATCATTATCCTAGGTCAAATCATTCAAGCATTCCTAAACGGTAAGTAGGACGTTACACGCAGTACACGGTAAGCTCGCCGCTACTGAATTGATGCCCACGACGGAAATAAAATAGACGACAACGGGTTTATCCTGACTACAACCATTCTACTGCCCTTCTCGCTCGGGAATCCACCCCCTCCAGCTCTCCTGGACTGTTTAAAGGAGATCCCCAGCGAATCGCTTAACAGCATCCGGACCGGTGAGAAGTGAGATGTTGTCGAGTGTTCATCTGTTACGAAATTAATGGAACCGATGAGGGCTTTAGGATGGCAGGCAACGCAAGTTTTCTAATTACTGCCTAAAGGCACCTCGATTTTAAATTGCAGTGGCGAGACAAGGATGTGGTTTTCACGTCATTGTTGATCACCGTTTCGTCACTGCGCCGTGAGGGACATCTTCAGTTAACCCCAGATGTGTGTAAACAGTTTTTACCGTTCGTGAGGTCGCACTCCGGAGTTTTCTGACTGATTGGTGTAAACAAAGAGTCGCCGGTGATTGCGACTGAAATTTGCGTTCTTCGCTTGTCGCAGGTCACTCCAACAGCGGCTATCGCGCATAAGTGAATGGGATGTTCTTGTGCCAGGAGGCGACCCTTCCACTGTTTTACTGAACGATTTACCTCAGTCGCCGGGGCCAGCGACTAGGGAGGAAATTTCTTCCCCGAAACCGACTAAACTCCAACTCTCTGGTTGCTCCCTTGTCCGTTGGCGTGTTTAGGTCGGAATTTCGATATATACTTAACACAGAGATGAAAGCAGGTAGTTATAAGGTTTTTGTGCAGGTCTTATTCTTATGCGTCTGTTATGCATGTTTTTTGGGTGATCTGGTCACAAAATGCTGAAGCAACAATCGGGAGGACATACTGGTCGGACACTGGAATATGGACCCCCGCGATACAGGCGGCCTCGCGTATTGCGCATAACCCTGACACTCCCGCGCAGAACTCTTATCCATCTGGCTCCGATGCTAATCCAAACCACCGGAATTTTACGAGGGTGTCCGTATTCCCGTGTCAAGCGGACTTATTTCTCAGTCATGTCACTAAATGAGATTTGAAATTAGATAAAAGATGTGGTTGTTGATAGAAGCGAACAGGCGAGTTCCAGGTAGCAGTTCAGAAGACGAAGATGCGATCACTGGAACAAGAACTTTATTGGCCTGACGTTTCGGACTCTCGCTCGAATCCATCATCGAACCATTCGCAGATAAAGGTGATGACGGCCCTCAATCCATCAGAAAGCACAATGCCCTCCCGGTACCATATTCCGTGCTGAGATTTTCCCTGGGCAAGGGAACCAGTCACGTGGGGAGGGCGCGGGTGAGCAATTATGCCAGTGACAGTGAGCCAATTTGCCGAGCCATCGTCACACCACCATTCAGCACGGATGACAAAATCACGGCCATTAACGCCTCGGACTCGGGCTGACAAGCCACCACCGCATCAATTACGACCCCAGCGGTGATTGTGAGGGCTGTTAATTACAGTGCTCATACGGTCCCACGGCAGCCACGTACTATAAATACTGCACTCCTTGTGCCATCGTCACCTTTATCTGCGAATGTCTCCGATGATGGATTCGAGTGAGAATCCGAAACGTCAGGCCAATAAATTTCTTGTTTCAGTGATCGCATCTTCGCCTTCTGAGATGCGGTTGTGCTTTAGAGCCAATTAGTCGCAAAGACTTAACTGAGACTAAGCAAGAGTTTACGAGTGATGCTAGGATTTTCCAAATAAGCCCTTGTGCAAATAAGCTGTTTTTCCTTTTGTCGTAATAATCTTTTCGCTGTTCCCGCTGTCAGTGCACTCAGGGGTCGAAGTTGGACAGACATGTTCTATAATATGCAGTCACGATTAAGGAGCAACCTTGATAAGGATGACTTCAAGAGCTGCGCTCACTGCCAGCGCCCATTGGTTTCGAAGAAAAAATAGAATGGGCTATCAGATGAGTTAAGCTAGTTTTTTGTATTGAATCTTCCGCAAGAGCCAGATGTCTTGGAACTCAGAAGAACAAAGAGACAGGTCACCAGCGAACAGCGAGTGAGTAGTTCGTAAGCGCTTAAATTTCTAGAGGTTACGGAAGAAGATCATGTTTGGCACATTGACTGAAACTCGGGAAAGGGACGACAGTCTGTGAAATTGAAATCACTAACACAAGGACACGGAGGCTGATCTGTGTACTGATGGGCATGGATGCTCTCATAACACCTTTTTTTGCGAAGGCATGCCGTTTTTCCACCGTCGCCCTCACTGACGTGCCATAATTCTGCTGTGAATAATTGATCATATGCTTGGTATAAAACACCTTTTACAGAGAAAAGGTAGACGAAAACATTGCTCCGAATTCGCATTTTGTAGATCTTCCCTGTGTCTTAATGTTATACTGTGCCCATATTTCCCAGTTAAAACTTTTCCATCTGTTTAGAATTACATAAAGATAATGAGCCAGAAATAGCCGCGACAGCTTACTTTATCTTCAACAGTACTCCTCCTGCTAGACGACTGCCTACTGACTTAAGATGGAACCCCCAGGACACAAGAGTACGAGTGCTTCCAGTAACTTAGTCGTTGAGCGCCACTCTGTTGCAGTTGATATCCCCGATCGCTCAAATTAGTTCTAATAACCCTTGGTGATCAATAAACGCGGGTTTGAGACTCAGGTCCTGCAAACCCGGCGTGCGGGCATGGCTGAATGACAACGACCATTAGTCACAGATGGCCATTCCAATCTCCCTCGTCTTGTTCGGTACTCCATCTGCAAGAAGATGGTGGTGGTGGTGGGGGTGGTGATGGTGGTTTTCATTGATCTCTTCTGTTTGCAGAATGGAATACAGACAATGTCGGTTTGCCTTAGAAATCCGTCTTGCGATGGGAGAGGTAGGCGAACTCGGTCTGCATGTGACTTTGAACATTCCCAATCGCAGCCGAAAAGACGTAACCCGAAGGATGCCCAGTTGTAGGGCGCTTAACCTAACAGTCAATAGTCAATAGACCCGGATTTGGACCATGTGCACCTTTGACCTGGTGTGGAGGCGATGGCAGCTAAGCTATACACGACCACCTCGGCCATTTGTCACTCCCCTAGCGGTCTAGGTTTCTTAGACCGCGGACAACGTCTTTCCTGGTTAGTAGAACAGCGAAAGCTCCAAGGAACCTTTTTGGGCCCAAATACGCATGTATCTTCTAAGGCTTAATGTAGAGCCCTCGTAGATAGTTGCGCAACGCAGTCGCATGCAGGTGGATGGTCCACAAACATGAGTTCGAGGCTTAGGTGCGGCATAACCCTGGCTTCAGTAGGGCTGACTTGCGACGGCTAATAAGTTAGAAATGGCCATCGCAGTCTGCCTTGCCTTTCTTGGTAATCTCCCCCTGGATTGTTAAACTGGAGTACAAGGAAAACGGGGCTGATATTCGCTGATATTAAAGCGCCTAGCAATCTTGAAACTAGGAACAACAACATCCCTCCCGTCCCACTTGTGTTTTTCCTTTTAAATAATACACAGCAACGGTAGAGTGTGGGGCACCAAATACCTTGACGCAGCCTGTGGACCGTGCCGCACATAAAATGGTGATAGAGGCGGTTTTACGCGTGGGACAACACGCAGGACGAAGAGCAGGCGGAACGCAAGAAATGGAAAAATAATAAACAAATTTCTGTCGAAAGTCTTATTTTATGCTGTCATATGGTAAAGAAAGTAAACGCTAAAATTTAAAAATGGACAAAAGACAATTTCCAAAAGCAATGGATTTCGAATAAATCGCCGCCGGTAAGTTTACATGCGGTCATGAGGCCCAGGAATTTTCGACCAATAGGAACGGTGAATAATAAGTGGTAGTTGCAGTCACACGGATTATTTGTGTGCATGTTGGAGTTTTCAGCTACGAGGGATCCTACACCCTGCCGCTACCATAATACCCTTACCAATTTTTGAAGTTTCATTTCCCTCTTTTAAACATTATTCACTCAACCTTAGTGAATTTTAACGGCGGTACTTTTATATACCGCAACCTACTGAAATAAACTGTAGCAGCATGCTGTTTCGATTCTACATTCATCTGCGGTGGGTTCTGGACCGTCAATAAAAACCATTTTACCATTTATACCGATCTACATAAGAGCTAGAGTATTAACTCACTCGGGATTTGCTGTTTTCAGAGTATGATTGTACGAGATCACCGGAAAATTCCTCAAGAAATGACCAGTATGCCATTGTCACTAGAGTAATACTAGACGCTTCTTCGATCTTATTCCTGTGTTAAGTAGTTACACACCCAGCTCTAATGCACTTTGGCGTGTGTATTCTTTAACGCCAGACAGACGGCATGGTTCTGTCCGTTGGAAAATCACCCTATAGCCTGCCTGCAAAATCTGCATTAGCTCACTCCAGAATTTGGACCGATGTTTCCTTTGCCAAGTTCTCTGCTGCATTCAGACAACAGTGCGGCGACTATGTACGGTCCAGACGCCTGACAGGAGAGAAACCCTCATGGAGGGTTGTTTACGTCTCGAATTCTGGGAACTTTCCGAACCTGGCCCACAAGGCATGCAATTACTGTGAAGCAAAATAGGCACGCAGAATTGATCCCGTTAGCATGCTGTGGTGCCATTTAAAATGTCCCTTCCTTCGGTTTCCTCGGGGTGCCGAAATTTACAAATCGAATATTTGCGATTGGTCGTGAGTGAGATTAACTTCATTAGACTGACGCTATCTCGGTCTCCAGTGGCGAGATTAATGCAAGCAGACGACAGCATGGAATATAAAAACATCAACTTCACCGTAGGTTACTTAGTTAACTGAAAGCCAAGTGGTCAGTGCAGGGCTTCTTACGTCTGTCTCCAATTTTCATGTGATAATTTGGTTTTACTGCCACCAACGTCGAGGGAATAGCATTCTGCAGCTATCCAGAGAAGATTGCCCCAACCAAGCCTGACACAGATACGAGCTAGAAGCCCTAAACGTGGCAGCATCCAACTGGATACGGATTAGAACCGAGATCAACAAGTTCTGTTCCGAGGACTTTGGTGGCAGCTTGTCCGATAATTTCAGGCCAAAAATTAGTCCCTTTTGAACAGCTGGTCATGATATAATTCTTAAAAGTGCAGACTACGTCTAGTTTACCTCTCGCAGTGTTCCACTTCTACGCCCAATTGATTTATCTTGCAACCTCGATGGATGCATAGATCAGACTAAACTAACCTCCCTTTGCGAGACACAAGTAAGGGGTATGTCGGTCGTACGATATTTCATTTCCTTCCAGCCAAAATATAATGATAGGTGTTAAATGGCTGCAGATTGCGCAAAAGCAGTAAGAAAGTGGAACCTCAGTGTTATCCGCATACATTGGCTGCCCGTCCTCCATGGAACACAACTCAGAGTATGCGGAAAAATCAAAGTCCAACGTGGCCGTCGACAACCATCGTAAAGTGATTAGTTTTTCCAAAGTAGGTATCGATGTGTATTTTTTCAGAAATGTCTGATGGACGTGGATAGTGATGTAGTTGCAACGCCGAGTCGCCTTAAATGACCAACGGAGTACAAGGCCTGGTATTGGGGAAAGTTCACTAACCTGTTACGTGCGTCAGACTACCCAAAATTCCAATCAAATGCGCGATCTCTGTCGCGCTGGTGCACTTATGTTCTCATCTTTCTTATTTTTCACTAAGAGGCAACTCCGCAGCTTTGCATAACAAGCGACTCAGTCCTCAGAACCTACGTAGGTTGGTCAGCTAATTTATCTATTACAAAACTGGCTATTTTCTATGCGTATGAATATCGAGTTTGAGAAGCGACTTTGGCCTTCATAATACAGGTCTCCAACCAGCAGGAAACAACGAAGTGAAGCTGAGGGTAGAGGAAGGTTCTTCCTCCTCTGTCAACAACTGAAGTTCATACAAATACTCCTAATTAAATTGCACTGTACTGCAACATTAGATCTTGCAGAGTTTGTCTTGTATCTACGAGTTAGAGGGTTGATCCACTTTGGACTCAAAAAATTTGGTCGCACTTTTGTTACGGGGACTGCGTACAATTGGCACCTACGGACTAGGAGTACTTTTTGCTCGGTGATTAATCAACTTTCCTGACGCGACTATTCAGAAAAATTTTCGTCAAAGTGTCTAGGGTAGTGAGAGTTTGCCTCTGTCCAGTAGGGTCCGCGTTGCCGCCTAATAAACAGAAAGTCTGAACAAGCAACTCCTATCATAGAGATACAATCTGAAACATTTAAACAAAGCTCCGGAGGCCACACCTTCGAGAGGTAGGGCCCGTGACCGTTGCCTTTTAATAAAGGGTGCAAAACTACCATCAGTCTTATGACGGTTGTTCGTTTGTTTTAAGAGCATGCGAGCGAGTGGACTCAAAGCAGGTCCTCAAAAGTGCAACTGTCCCATGGGAATTTCTGTTTCTACCTTGTCAAATGGTGTGTCTAACTGCTACATAGTTAGGGCGGTTTCAAGCCACTCAATCGTCAGTCGCGGGGACATTTAGTTGAGAACCACTTCATAAACAAACAGGATGTCGATTCTTAAAAGTGTGGATAAAAGTGTCAAATTTCCCCTGTTACAGTACTCAGTGAAATCCAGCTCTTACTAACGTATTAAGAGCATTTGACATATCGGAAAACACGGTAACAGACTTGTAACTGACAACTGCCTCCAAAAATTTTCCCATGTGTGCATGAATGCGTGAAAACGTTTGCAGTATGGAAATTAATATTGAAACTCTTCAAGTTGCTGACCAATGTGGGTTTTCGACTGGGAGGCATGAACTGAGGTCTTAGCCGAAAAACCAATAATACGCACCGGATCGATGCCGAGGGGTCAACGACGTAATACCGACATCGAGGCGCCAACCCGAGGGTCACTCCGTCGACTGTTGGTATGAACATCATTTAGGGAAACTCCTCGTCTCTTCAAGGACGTTTACGACAGGCGGGCATGAACACAAGAACCACTCAAAACGCCCTGAAGACTGCCAAATCACAGAACTCGCCAGTTTTTCTGCCGCCACCGAGCCAGGAACAAGGTGCTGCTGTCGGTTTTGTCCCTAGCAGCAAAGGAATTAAACTAACGACAGCCGAGGAGCCAAGGGACTCCGTTAAGTGTGACTGCGCTCCCACCGGCCGGTCGCAATACGTTGGCATGAACCTACCGGCGAAATTCGAGTCGGAGAGCAAAACGAGGAGGGTGGACGCTCATCGACGCTGTGTTCCCACGGCTGAGAACCGGTCAGGTGTGGTCGCGGCACATTCTGACTCCAGAACCCGGACGAGGTGCGAGTCCTCGGTGAGCCCGAAGAGCAGGCTCATCAAGGTCATCGCCCTTACTGGCGGAGATGTCGCGTACGGTGGATTGTACGATGGCAGCAACCACAAAGCAATCCCTCCAAAAATCCAGTATCTCAGGGTCATACCAATCAGCAGCGACAATGTCGGCCGAAGCACACTTCCAAGGATACACGCCAGTATGGTGACCAACGGACCGGCTACAACTGCTGCCGCAAGGCGACCGCAGACCGATGCTGTTTGTGGTTCTAAAGTCATGAACCCAGTCTCCAGAGGGGAGACTGGACACAACTTTACAGCAACACCGGACTCGAAGGAATTTGCCGGAGGGAAACGGGGCACAACACTCCGGTACTCAGCTCCTAATACCAGCCAGATTTTTGTTGCCGAATGGCTTGTGAAAATGGGTTCTTGTATCAGGGCAGGGCAGAGCGAACACAGCCGGCAGGAAGTTGCTCCATTTTGTCAGCATCAGGCCTACTGGGGCATTGCGCCGTGCGGAAGACAAGGGTCTACCTCCAGCACACCGTAGAAATTGGAAGGGGCTGTCAAAGACTTTAAAGAAGACACCGTTAAGGTAGCCAGCAGAGGAGCAATTTTGGACATTTCAGACACAAAGAGCCGTGGCGGAACGGGCCCACTGAACAACGAGAAACGCTGCGTGTTCTACAGGCAAGTATTCAACGCCGCATCTCGGCGATGTTCGCAGCACAGAGAGAACACTTGTGCACTCATGAGATGCTTTGGCTTGTATCACCGCTCTTAAACTGAGTTTGTCCCTTTTCATTTAAACACCAACGGCTGTCTTTTTTCACACTGAGGCAGGTTGAGAACTTTTTTTTTCTAGTGCCTGGTCGCACTTATTTCGATGCTGGTTAGCCAGTGAGAACTAAGGCCCGAATAACTGCACGATTATACGCAGAGTGGAGGCTTCCTGAGAAACCGTTATTCTCCACAGACGCCTAAGCCTATAGCAGAGATTTGGCTGCAACTTTACGGCATCGGTTCAACCTGCGCTGGGTTCGAACTATCTGGCAAGACTTAACAGCAATCCCCCCGGGAATGCATGAGAGCCAAGGTTATGATGATTTGAGGACTTAAATTCTTTGGGATGCCCTCTATTAATTAGCCTTGAGGTTTATCCTGAAAAATTCCTTGCCAATCTCCATCTGGACTTTTTGTATGGGTCCCTGGCATATGGGCCAGTAATTCAGGAAGGAGGTTCTGTACAGTTCATATATTTTGATTCCGGGGTACGAATTTTCAAGTTCAAAAACCTCATTAGACAATGAATTGGCAGAGTTGAGAACCTTAAGACTGTTTTTGTTTGAATGGACAGTGCAAAGAGGAAGCTGGCATTTGTTCAGTCGTCGGAGCCTTTTTGAAGCTAGCAAACAAAGAAAAGTGTGGGTTTAGAAAGCTAACATGCGGTTCACTTGCAATTATTTGCCATACAGGCAGGACCGACTGAGGAAGGTTAGGCTGTTTGGTCAATTTGGTTGGCTACATATATATGCATTCACCGCAGTACCCTGGGAGAACACCACTTCTAAAGAGGTTCAATAGAGACGGCGATATGGTTGCATCTGTGTAACAAGCCAGAAGATTTTATCTACGCAAAATGCTTGTTAAATGTATTAGATAACCCTAAATTCAGCCCAGCACAATATAAGTAGCCGATAGAAACCCAAGCGATCTCCTGAAGAACATGCTTTTAAACTGTTTTTGGAAAAGAGCCAGGTAACTGGTCCGAAGACGGTGTCGAGACTAAGCGGTGTGAGTGTGTATGTCTGCGCGCTACCATCGTCGGGTCAGATCCCAAGTTGTAGGGAGAAGACAGAAGGCACCGGAATGAGGGATTTATTGTGCACAGAACCCGGAGTTGTCCTCTCAGGCGGCAGTTGCCACTGGCGAAGTCAGGGCTGGTGTTGACTGCGTCCAGTCATGCCTCAGAGTCCCTGAGATAGTGGTGGCAGCTGCCTTTGTAGGCTCGTGGGCCAAGCTCAAGCGATGGTGTCCAGTCAGTGTGTGTTGCATCTGCCGAGGGGTGGTGCCATAGTGGCTTAGGTTGTGGTTGCAGGGGAAGGTGCGTTCGAGTGGCCGCATGGGCAGCTGCGACTGCGCGGACGCAGCTATGCCCGAGCTGTTGGTTGTGTGACTTCAGGTCAGCGCGTCTGGAACGGTTCACTGCAAAAGGGTGGATGACCCTGAGGCAGCGAGGTCTTGAACAATGACGCCAGACCGGTCATGATGGCTGCCCGCCACAACGGAATGACCAAGGGTGTCGAGGTTTCACCCGCAAGGAGCATTTTACCCTCATCCTCGTATCAGAGGTGGTCTTCTGCCAAGAGGGAGGGGGAGGGAGTGGGAAGAATCGTTATATGTATTCAAGTACCAGTTTTGTCACATAAGCTTTCTTTGGCGAAGGGCCCCCCCCATGAGCACCCTGAAAGAGGCGCTGCGCTCGCCCTGTGAATGCTCTGAAGTTTCCCTGGTTATCCGAGAACGGGCCTGAGTCTTTTTTGAGTCCATTTGCGAAAACCATCGAGTGACACTGCAGTGTACAACGCCGAATGAGTTGACCTGTCATCCCTACACTGTATACTCCCCACTCTACCACCCCCTACGCCTCCACCGCTGCATTAGACGAAACCCCAGTGGTAGGGGACGCTCACCGATCGTTCTTACGAAACTCATTCGTTTCGTTGTGCCTTACGGGCTCTCTCTCTCTCGAGCCCAACCAGCAGCCGCACAGCGGCGCAGGATATAGGCAGTATGTTATTACAGACAAAGACAAGGGAAACTGGGATGGCCATTTCTGGCTTATAGGTCGTCGTCAACCAGTCGTACCCAACCCCGAAGTGTGGAACACCCGAGGCTCGAACTCGCGACCCGCTAGTTGGAAGTCCACGTCTCTAACCACTAGGCCAGGACAGTGCCCAGGACTAAACGGACAAAGCCCTTTTCACAAAGATGTTATTACATTATTTCTCGACGGTTTTTCGGACAGTCGGCAAGGCAACCCGGGGCACCAAGTGCCCCAGTCACAAATGTGCCTGGGCGTCCATAGGCCTGAAGTATTTTCGACGCATGGGGCTGAATTGGATCCGAAAGAACCTGTCTAGCCGTGCTATTATGACACAGTTAAGGTTGTGTCATCCAGCTGGGGGGAAGGGGGGAGCAAAAGGAACGGGTTATGAAATTGGCGTGACTAGAATTATTGCTTTGAGTCTTAAGCTAACCACTTTGTGACATAATTCATTCGTAATTCGGGGGTGTAACTGCGGCCCTGGCTTTTGTGATTTGCATCATAAAACCGTTTTTCTCGAAGCAAATGACACCCGCACTTGTGACGGTCTGAGATCACATAACCCGGTCTCAGTTTCGCTACGGATACCTGGTTTATAACTGAGGTGAGTCCAATACGGTGCTCTTTGAAAGCTCGTGCTACAAACTCGTGCACATTCCTAGCCGTGGTAAGAGCGGATTAGGGTAGGATTTGGAGTATTCATGTGTGTCAAGAAGTTATGCAGCGTCACCACTCAGCTCAGAACGCGGCGCGTGTGGCTCACGTTTTATGGCCATTGATCCAGACATTGACGAAGTAGCAGTCAAGCCGAGTGAAAGGTCGGGCACGACGCGCCCCGGGCCACCATTGACAGCGATGTGGGGTTGAACAAGCTAGCCGAACTACAACTGACTCGGACGACTCACCCCGGACTTCAAGAATAAATGCAGAATCCCGTTAGGCGCAGGTACAGAACGTAGCATGGACATCTGCATGCTCCTGCCGGAGTACGCGTCGGACTGGTCACTCTTTGATGCTGAGTGACCGCATTTGCCTGAAAATTTGGAAACAGAATTAATTTATCCCACTGATCACCCATCCCTATTCGGCTACACTGAGAGGAAGCTGTACTTTTACGACGATCCCCTTCTTTTGGGATTTATTCTTCTCGAACTGCCTCTGTGGTTAAATCGTTACTTTTTTTACTAGAAATATACAGCTTGAGGTTAGTTCAGTATTCCACACCACACATTGTCTTTATCTCTCACCAATGCAACGAAGAGGCGATGCCCGTCAAAAATTTTCTCTGTCCGTATGGTTGCAGACTCTCCACGTGAGGACCTAACCCTCTTTTTCGCGCTCTCAGGTGGCATGGTCTGCGCCTGATCAAATTTTGCTGTCACTATAGACATGATGAGTAGCCAGGGGTTCCAGAGGCATCCTGTTTCAAACCCCTCCTGTCATCATAGAATCGCGATGATCTTGTCCACCTAGAGAGGGCGGTGTGGTTGTTATTAGTGAGATGCATCGGTCATTTATTCCTCCTGCAGCTTTTGCCCGCGTCCTGACAACGAAAGCCTTAAAGGGGGAAATGAGGTCGACACAGGTGAATCCACCCCCCCCCCCGCGGCATCTGCGCATTGTTCACCACAATAACAGCTGGGGGACGCAGGAATCAAGCTGCAACAGCGCCTTCTCATTTTAACTTCAATGGCATTCTTTCCCGCGTGATATCCCAGTCGTCCTTAGAGCAGCGGGAGGCAGTTCGTAAGGGTCACTCGTAGACGGACTGTTTAATATTGCCAGCTACTGCGCCCAATCCCATCGCCGGCTGTCCTGATAGTGTTTTGTCATCTAAACAGGGTGGGTGAAGAGGGTGGGGGTGCGGTTGATGCTGTGCAAGTCACCGGTGCTGTGCCCATCTCGAGGGAACCACAGTGGGCGTCTTCGCCCACGATGATCGAACTATCGCATGTTACGCCATTACCGGGTGCAATGGCAAAGACCTGTACTTGGCAGTGCCACCGACAAGTAGAAGCGACTTCATCAGTGGGCCATTTGTGCGGTAACGCCCTCGTGCGCATTGTCAGCAATACAGTAGGTGGACTAACTCATGAAATGTCAACTGAAATTCCGAAATGGGTTTTCGTCTTGAAAAAATTAATTTAGTAGGGTTGTGAAACTAGCCAGCCTGTAAAATAATTCCTTAATATTTCAGTCATCTCAGGATGCCGGCTTTCGAATGAACTTCCTTCCGGCTGCATGCAAAAGCTACACTGTAAAAACGACTACTTATGTAGCATGCATTTTTCTCATTGATTTTCGATGCTCTTAAAAATCCAATTATATTTCATGGAAAACATGCGTAAAAATATTCATTCTTTTGCACACGGTAGAAAATTACACCTTCATCCAATCTTAAACTCAAAAGAAGGGTATAATTCGTTTTTCAAAAACTTTTTCAATTCCCGAATAATTTTTAACCCGCTCTACCGTTACACTTACGTTCGGTGTGTCCAAACTACGAGCCGTATATTTTCCGCGTAAGGAAGACCACACATTTCTCTACGGTAATAAAGGCGGACTATATAGGGTTCATAAAATTTAGCAGTGGAGTTGATCCATGTTGTTAACTTTACAAGCCATGTTGGTAAATGTAGAGACATGACGATTTATGGACGACAATTTCACGGTATTAAAAGTCCCACAAATAGAAACTTTTAAAACTGATTTATGTTCCTCTTCGTGCATACATGCAGAGGAAGACGTAATTTTCTACCGAATGAGCAAAAGAACGAATACTTTTGTGCATGTTTTCCATGAAATATAGTTGAATTTTTAGGAGCATCGAAAATTAATGAGAAAAGTGCATACTACATAAGTAGTCGTTTTTACAGAGTGTAGCTTTTGCATGCAGCCGGAAGGAAGTTCTTTCGAAATCCAGCATCTTGATGTAACCGAATTATCCTAGAATTAGGTTGCAGACTGACTATTTTTACAACCCTTCTTAATTAGTCTTTTCGAAACGAAAACGCATTTCGGAATTTCGGTTGACATTTCATGAGTTAACCCGCCTACTGTAGGTTTTGTCAAAGGAGATGGCTTGGTTAAGGGGCAATAAGTGGATCTGAAAATATGGTTACCACAACCTCTATTGTTTTCATCGGTTGGCATCCGCAACTTTATGCTCAGTTGTTATTGCCGTCCGTTTATGCTCGCCAAGACTAAAAGTCAGAGCCGGTTTGTCCTGAGAAACCAAACAAATCAATGTCGGCGTCTTCGTTTGTGGAAAGATAGACTGCCTTCTGACCAAGATTGCAAGCATCGCCTGCGGGGCCTCGCAGCTCAAGTAGTTAGAGCGTTGGCTGTACTAAAGCCTTCGCCTTACTGTGTGGGTTCGAATCCCACCGAGGCGACGAGTTTGTCACAATTGGGTCAATATGAATCATACAAAATCTGTCAAAACATCTATGAAATCCTCATAAACTGAGACGACCCACATTCCCAGGTGTTAAACTTTAAGGAGAGATAGGTCTCAAAAGAAGGAGAGGCGTTCACCGGGAGGGGTTTATTGGAGGTCTACCGACTTAAATGCAGCTGCGAAAGGTGCAACTACGTTGAGGAAACCGGCCGACGGCTGCAAACGCGAATGCACGAGCATAAGTTGGCTGTGCGAAGGTTGGACCCAAAGTCGCAGGTAGCAACCCATGCCGCGCAAATAGGACACATTTTCAACTTTGACGCCATTGAGATTGTGGGCCGGAGCGGTGATCATATAGCAAGGCAAGTGCAAGAAGCCTGGATGCCCACCGACTGCTCTGTCAACCGCCACATCAATTTGCCTCTCCCTATCTGACTTTACGAACCTTCTTAATGGGGGACAGTCACGGCGGGGACAATCGGGGTCGTCATCTCCGCGGCCGACGGGGTGATTCATGCCACGGTGGCATGCGAGTTGGATGCAGCCACACAGGCGGCATTGGCGGGTCACGCACTAAACAAAGTGCGCCATATAGGGGGAGCTGCACGCGGGACTTCCTAGTCTCTGAAGAGGGGTAGACGAAGCAACTAATCGAAACGTCCGACCTCCAATAAACCCCTCCCGGTGAACACTTCTTTTGATATACCACCTGGGAATCGCATTTTCACTACTATTGATGAGAAATAGGTCTCTACACATGACACGAATTTATTGTGCTGGCTCCTACGAAATGCAACTGTCCACACATAAGCATCGGGTCCGAGAGATTACAAACAGTCCAGCGCAATTGCCTTGAGAGTTTAAAGGCCTTCGCGCCAACAAGACGAACCCAGTTCTGGCGGTCAACCCATCCGAACCCTCGGTCGTCGGTCCACCAACTACGGATAACTGGCCGACGCAACTGCTCCGTCGACACCACGACCAGAAACCGGCTCTTGGAAAACCACACATCAGTGAATCCCTCCCAACGATAGCGAACCCTCGAGCCCTTCTCGAAAGATGCATGTCCGCCGAGGTGCTAACCAACCGTCCGCAATTCCGGGGTCTGATTTTAAAACTATGAACACAAGTAGCGTGAGCTCCGGCCCTTCGACGGGTTCTACTTGTTCGATTTCAAGCAAGCAGGTATTTAAACTTTAAATTCATACACCAATCGAGCGATCGCCGAACTGCATGCGACCCGTCCTCAGCAGACTTTCCGCCGTCGTATAAGCAACTAGAGCAGTTCGCCCCGGGCAGGAAATACAGTTGCAAACTTTACTATCACCCCCGGTAGTGGAAACCAGGGGCCGAGTCCGACGATGATTCCTCACCGGAAAGAACATGTCCAGACCGTCTTCAAGTGTTTCTGGTTAACAGTCCTTGGCCCCATTACCTTAGTTGCCACTACTGGGGCAAAAAGAAACAGGAATTGTCTCAATCAGTTGCCCATAAGCTACTAAAAAATGAAAGTAATCGACTAGTCCATCAAGATTCAAGACATGCCCACAGGAAGACCTTGCTGCAAGAGCCACTGACTACGCTCTCACAAAACACTCATGGTTCCAAGTGCTATTGCGCACAACTGCCCTCTTCAGCAAGAAAAAAAGACTACTTTCTGGAGACTCGAAAGAAGAGATTTTCACAGGAGTGCTAAAATAAATTACAAAAGCAAATTTCGCTAGGGAACAAGGGGATTGGCGGATGTAGGAGAACAAAAAGCTTTATTTTAGGTGCTGAAAGGAGACTGAAGGCATAAGTCGAGAGGGGTAACACCGAGATCGAAATTTCTCTCTTCAAAGAGATAAACTAGTGTATGGTCACGGCGAAGCTTTTAAAGAGGCAGGCGCAGTTGAGAGTTCGGGACGCTTAACGGTTTTGCTTGATGAAGGCGATCAGTCCATTGGTCGAAGAATCATGGCTTGTGATCACGTCATTCGTGTGGATCTCCGGTTGGAGTCGTTTGGCAAGCTCCTTCCCCAGTTCGACGCTTTGAAAAAGCAATGACAACCGAATTATCAGATTGGCATGAGAAAGTCAAACTAGTATAGGAAATAGCGAGTTAAGAGTGAACGGAGAAGTTGGACAAGGAACAAGCAGCATCAAACGTTCCTCAAAAAAGCTTAAACTGAGGTCTTTGGCACAGGCAGATGAACTCATCAGTCAAAAGATATGTAAGCAGATCTTGCAATTTACAATCCCAACTTGTGCTGCGCGGGTCTTTCACGGTTATCTGTTATTTTCTAGGAGATCAGACGACAACCCGACATTCACGCCTAGCAAGACACCATAATAATTTTGTGGAAATATTGCCGTCCCGTCTACTCCCGGCGTGGGTAGCGGTTGAAAGTGGGTTAATTGAGCTTCGGAGATGGTGATTCCCAACAAATCAATTCTATTGAACGGATAGAAAGCCTGGCCTCACACGCCTTCAAGACGAAGGTCCCAGTCATAATCAAAGTGCCGAGCGAGTGGAAAGTAATAATGACTCTTTCCACGAGCTCCAATGATAACCGTGGGTTTGTAACAAGAGCGAAAGAACGATATGAAGTAGAGCCTGGGTATGCTGAGGAAAACTTACCCCCATTGATCATAAGAATTGATGTTCCAAATGATACCCTGAGTGAATATTTTGTGCTCGTACATGGCCACCAACACTCCCAACATGTAAGGTGTGAGGGCAGTGAAAAGGATCGAGTTGGTTGGTTTATTGCCGCGGAAGGTCTTGTGAACCGTCAGTTTCTCTAACATATCACCCGTGACGTTTGCCTTCATCAACTCCTCTCGTGCTTGCTCTGGTGTCTTGCCCAACATCAGGGCTTCGGTTTGAGCGAGGAAGTTTGAAAGCAGGATCTATTTGAGGGTGCATAAAATGAAGGAAAGATTAGCACGCGAAAAAAAAAAACAGTCGCTGAGAGAGTACCGTCAACTGACCTCATGGAATTCATTCTCCTTGATCGGGTTTTGGGATTTACAGGGAGCCAGGAAGTCACAGGGTATCAGACGAGTGCCTTGATGAATGAGCTGATAGAAGGCGTGCTGACCGTTGGTGCCGGGTTCGCCCCAAACAACTGGCCCGGTAGAATAGTTCACAGTCGCACCTTCGCGTGTCACGTACTTGCCGTTGGACTCCATGTCACCTTGTTGGAAGTAGGCAGGGAAGCGATTCATGTACTGGTCATAGGGCAGGATGCAATGAGTCTCGGCCTTGTATCCATTAATATAGAGAACTCCGAGCAACGCCAGAATAACAGGAATCTGGAAGGAGGAAACACTAGTTAAGTTTCGGAAACCTAAGTCGCAGGTGGCTGCCGTGGAGTAAGCCTGCGCCTAAGCATATCATCATACCTCTTCATGTGTGGCATTTTCTATGAGCGCGCATCCTTAATAAGGCCCGTTGGACCTTGATCCAGCTTCTGTGCTGGTTCAGGGCATCTACCGCGTCGCCCGTCGTGGGGGCACCGCCTTTTCTATATGACTACCATAAAGTACGACCACCTGCGATAGATGCGGGAGATGCAAATTTCTATAGGTGTTTGGTTACATGGAAACGGCATCTCATGAATACTACAACCGCTTTTGAGTCCACTACCACTATCAGTAGCCATGTCTGGTCCGATGTGAATTCGAAATGCCAGGCAAAAGAAATCAGTGTTCAAACGATCGAATCTCCTTCTCGGGACTCGTTTTTGCTTGTATCCGAAAGGATGAGTTAGAAAAGTGTAAAACCCATATAAATCTAAAATTCAAGCCTTACATTGCGTTCTAGCGGGGCCTCTTTGAAGTGCTTGTCCATCGCATGGGCGCCAGCCAGGAGTTTCTCGAAGTTATCCATACCTTCGTAAAATAAGATTAGTAAGCATATTGTTTTCTCAAATGGCATGTGATTCTCAAAATACTGCATAACATGTCACGACCAATCTAAGGCGTAACACTTTGAATCGCCTAAATAACCGTGCTCATGGAATTTGGTTGAAAAAGGCAGAATATGCCTCAGAAGTCGAACTATCTGCCAGAGCTATTCAATCGTAGTGAATTTAATTAAAGATGAAACTCAGTCACATGGAAATACGTCTAGGCATGAGTCTGTCGCCTGTAATGCGTGGGGGAAAAATGACTCTAACGTCCTTATCGAAATGAATAATTTTCTAAGACTGTGCACCATTGCAGGCTGAAAACTGAGGAAGGTCGAAACCAAACGCACCTATGTACAGGGCGATGGATAGTCCGATGGCGGACCACATGGAGTAACGGCCACCAACCCACTAAAAGAAAAACAAAATTCATTTCGTTCAGTGTAAAAGACCGAAACAAAACAAATCAGTGTAAGCCAACCTCGCGTTGTGGTCAGGACCCAGAAGGATCCTAAACACGACTATGAAAACACGCTACAATGCTAATAATAATGGTCTTGACTATTATAACAAGGCGCAAAAGGAAGACAGATGCAGTTAGATAGCAGGGCTACCGAGGTGAGCTAACTGTTTATTGAAATTCCGCATTTGAAGTAAAATCAAATGTTACAACGTACGTCCCAGAATTCGAACATATTCTCCTCGGCAATCCCGAACTTCTTCACCTCTGCGGTGTTTGTTGAAAGAGCGACAAAGTGCTGAGCAACAGCTTTGGGCTAGAACAGCGGAATGAGTAAAGGTGAACTGAGAAAAAAACAATTGGTTTTCCAAAGGAAATGTGCACTAGTTTACAGTATAAAGAACAAGCGTAAGAGGCTATCGAGCAAAAAGACTATGCGTGTAGTAAAATAAAGCGCAGGAGGTGTGGTGGTAAGAACTCACATCTTTGGCGGCTTTCAGGAACCAGGCCTTCGCGTAAGCGGCGTTAGTCATGGTTTCGGCAGTTGTAAAAGTCTACAAAATACAGGTGTAAGTAGACAAGTGGAACCGAGGAGGCACATTAAATTGAGGTTTTCGCCCGAATAAAAGATTAGCAACCAAGTTTTACGGCCAACAGAAAAAGTAATTCTAAATCTCTATAAATATAAAGCGAACTAATTGAAACTATCACGAAAAGGGGGTTTAAGATGAGTCGTACAAACGACAAAGTAATTCTTTAGCAGTTGTAGCGTCAGAGGAAATAAGCACCTTGGATGCGATGATAAACAAGGCAGTTTCGGGTCTCAACAGTTTTAGAGTTTCGCTTATGTGAGTCCCGTCGATGTTAGAGACAAAGTGAACTTTGAGCGAACTCGAAAATGGCTTGAGGCAATTGGTGGCCATCACAGGACCCTAAAGAAAAAAGGACATGGGAATAAGTGAGGTGTTGGCGGGGAAGAACATGAAGAGAGTGTATAAGCGTTGAGATAATTTTTAAGGGAATGTTGGGAAAGGTTGAGATATTGTTTGACCAAATTACGCACGTATTTTCACACGAAGCGGCCATCTAGAAAACGAAGGCGTTATTCAGGAACTCGTCCGCGGGCCACTATTAATCTCAATTAACGCAATAAATGTGGTTGCGGCAACGCTTGACGGCTATCTCCCGATGACAATAATTCCGGACATCGATTTAACATTCAGCTTGTTCTAAAAATTTCGCGCTGACGTCCCTCACCTAATTAAGTTTCAAATTGTCACACCCAAACAGTAGTTCACGCTAACCTATACTACAAACATATGGGCGGTGTCCGAAGAACAACCGAGGCGGAAAGTGGGATTAGGACGCCAAGTCCCGTCAGGTGAACCCAGATAAAATGGATAATTCGCGAATCACGCTTTTGCATTAATATATTTTGATTAAGGTCCAGCACGACTTCCATCCTACGCGTTGTGCATGCTGACAATTGAAATACTCTACCTCACAGAAAACACTACATCTGACCGAAGTGATAGGTATTTTCTTGTTTGTATAAATTTGTCTGATCTCAATGGCCATATACGCGTGCTCTTGGAGTACTAAAGAAGACGGTCGCGATCCGTTTTGCGCTTCCCCTTCAGTATTTATAAATCCAGGCACCGTTTGTTTTTCAATAATAAAACGCCTCTCGCTGCTAGGTTGTCACAACGGAAACAGCAATGACATAAATCCCCATTTTTTGGCATCCCCAAGGATTGCGCAAACGTGTCATTTTAAAAGCAGATGACGACAAATGTTGGTAGGCGCCGGCGTGGCGAGTAAATTCGCAGTCTACAGAATCAACTACAAAGAATGACCCAAACTTTCTCGAAGACATGAAATTAAAAATCCGATAAATTTTCTTCTACGAGGCGTAATCGAAACCCTTGCAGTTAAGCGTGTTTGCCGTAAGAAGTTGTAACATGGTTTTAGCTCGGCAAAATTACAAAATGAAATAGAGCACCCACCAAATCCGAGCCTCCGATGCCGATGTTGACAACATCTGTAATCGACTTGCCCGTATACCCCTTAAATTTTCCGGTTAATACATTCTCCGTAAAGTCACGCATTTGCTTCAAGGTAGCATTGACGCTCGGCATGACCTGCAGGGACGTTAGGCTGAATTCCGTCTTACATCTTGGCCGTCCACCAAAATTGGTGTGTTTGATCGATTTCTTAGTGCAATGTGCAGGACTGCGCGATTTTCTGTAAAGTTAATCTTTTCTCCGCTAAACATGGCATCTCTCATTTGCTCCACATTTGATTTTTGAGCCTAAAAATTATAAAAACGGATAGCACTTGCCAGTTGTATTAGTTTTTCGAACAACTCGTCATCAATTAGGTTCTTGGAATAGTCAACGAGGAGTTTGCCTTCCGGAAATTCAAGAACTTGACTACAATTACAGAAAAACAAATAAAAACTCAATGTACATATAGAGCATATATGCTGTGCCCCGAAACAGGACAGGGGACTTACCTGTATTTTTCGAACCGTTTAGGGTCTTTCGCGAAAAGCTCCTTGAGTGTAGTCTCCATCGGCTTGAAGCCATTCAAAAATTCAAGAAGGGCACTCATTTTGGGGCAAGTCCCTAGCCTACGTGACAACGAGAGAAGCAGGAATAACAACGCGCCGTCGCACAGGCAAATTAACGGTGCATTCTGATCGTGTAAAACAAAGGGTGGAGTTTCTGCCAGATTATCTAAAAATCATAAGATTAGCCAATAAAATAGTGTTTTCCTGGACAAATGTATGACTAAGCATAGGTAAAGGCCCCCGTCTCCAAGTGTTAGTTATGCAACCAACGGGCTTCGCAATAACGGGGAACACTTAATCTCCACTGGAACACTTCCTGTCGATTGGAAGCTGGCGCATATTACTCCGCTACACAAAGGAGGTAACAGGGCAGCGACGACAAATTACCGGCCCATAAGCTTGACATGCATTCTCTGCAAAGTTATGGAAAGGATCATAAAGTGTGAACTAATGCAATTCCTGGAAGTTCACGGCCTGCTATCGAAATGCCAACATGGGTTCCGGAAAGGAAGATCCTGCACGACAAACCTGCTGCAATCTCTCCAGAGCTGGACCCAAGCTCTCGACGACAGGCACGCGGTCCACATAGCCTTCATCGACTTCCAGAAGGCTTTCGACACTGTGCCACACCAAAGGCTCTTACATAAGCTGAAAAAAATAGGGATCGGTGGCAACTTCCATAAATGGATCGAAAACTTCCTTGTGGGTCGACACCAGGTTGTGTGCGTCGGTCGGGGAAAATCAGATCCGGCTATGGTCGAAAGTGGTGTCCCCCAGGGTTCAGTACTGGGACCCATTTTGTTCCTTATCTACGTGGACGATGCCGCAAGAGATTTGGACTGTGAAGTAGCAATGTTTGCGGACGACATGAAGATATGCAGTGTAATTCGTGGTCCTGCCGATGAAGACAGACTGCAGATGAACCTGAATCGGTTGGAGGAGTGGTCAAACCGTTGGCTCCTGCGGTTCAACGTTGCCGAATGTAGCATAATTCGCCTAGGCAACACAGCCAGATCCGCCAGCACAAGAGGCTACGTTCTGGGCGGTGCAGCCCTACAAGAGGTCGAAGCCCAAAAGGACCTCGGTGTGCTTACGACGAGTTCCCTAAAACCATCCGCCCACTGTTCGAGGGTGGCAAAAACCGCAATGTCCGTACTGTACGCCATCAAGCGTGCGTTTATGGACTTTGACGAAGAAGCCTTCTCTAAGACATTCGGAACATTCGTCCGGCCGCATTTGGAGTACGGCATACAAGCTTGGAGGCCGTGGGGTGTTGTGGATCAAAACTGCCTCGAAAGAGTCCAGAGGAGAGCCACGAAGATGGTCAGGGGTCAAAGCTCCTTTCCTTATGCGACCCGCCTAGTAAATCTGAACCTCTTTCCTTTGAGTTACAGGCAACTTCGCGGAGATCTCTTGCAAGCCTTCCGCATTGTGAAGGGGTTGGATTGCAGTCTGGTCTTCGAAGACTTTTTTGAATTTGCTACCACGACCAACCTCCGAAGTCACCCGTTAAAACTGCGCACTCAGCAGGCACGGTTGGATGTGCGGAAGTTCTCCTTCTCGGTTCGGGTGGTCAAACCATGGAATGAGCTTCCCGCAGATGTTGTGATGTCACCATCTATACAAAGTTTTAAGAAGAATCTGGACATATTTATGTTCCGAAATGACCAAGAGCGATGAGAAGTCGAGCTCACCCCCTGTAACTCCTTCTCATTTTGTCCCACCATTATGGGCGTGTTCGAACTGTTTCAGCCCAGAACATCTATCTGTACACCACACATTTTTTACGTTGCAAATAGGGTACTCAAAGGCTTACGCCTATTTCCCTCAATAAACTGAACTGAACTGAACTGAACTCCATATACTTCCTTTGCATGTAACCAATAGGGATTTTAAAGGTACACACCTACTTTCCCTAAAATACACTGATACTGATAGTGATACTGAACAGTCAACGAAATTCTCACACCTAAACCGAGGATCGCACTGTTAAGCATAAATGCAGAAGTCAGGGGTCAAATAAGGGCAGCAGATATAATGGAACGTAACCATTGATGGTTCGGCAAAATATCGGCGAACCTATCATCAGTGTGTAATTCATTAGGCCGCAACACCGTTGAAGACCGAAAAAGTATGCGTACATGGAAATGTGTGAGAGTCACCCAAACACGAATAAGATGACTAATAGGAAAATAAAAAGGCCGTAAAAACAGTCCAGTATAATTTGCGAAACTTGAGAATTACCGTAAATATGTAAGTAAAGATCTGCCTAAACTTCGGTTTTCATAGGCAATTTATACGCATTTTCAATTGAGGTCTTCTTAAGTCACTATTTATACCAGGTTTAGTTCCTCTCTGTCCTATTAAATAGCCTGCTAAATTGGCTGCTTTTTACGAAATGTTTGCATATTGACGCTGCGCATAGCTGCCTTTACTGTTTACTGTAGTAAAGTAACATCTGTCTTTGTTGTTCTGTGCGTTTTGTTGCACGTATGCAAAACTTTAATCCTCGTACCGCAGGAGAACACCTGTTCAGTACCTTCTTATTCCCCAAAGAGGGCTCGCGGCCTGCTTGTCATTTCTGAGTGCTCTAACCCTGGCCGGAGACAGTGTTTTCGCAACCTTCCCTAGATATGGGTAAATCAAAAATCTAATTCGTTCATACAGAACCTCTTGATCCTTTTGTCGCTCAAGATCATGCCTTTACTAGTCGTTCCAGATCATCATCCGATGAAGTAATAGATCAGTTGATATATGGCGATGCAAACGGTGTTTTCAAAAATTTATTGAACAAGCGTTAAAAGTTATTGGAGTAATAGGGTCAGAAATTGAGGAAAGGATAAAACGTACGCATACTTTTATTCTGAGTAACATTCCGAGTCCCATATCCGCTATAGAGGTGGCATATTTGCTTCTACAAAATTTAGCCTTGAGTTTTATAGTCGCGCAAGCTAAACGTTTATGCTCGCTCAGCCGTAATTCGCGGTTAATATCTTAGGGAACTGAAAAGCAACTAATTCCTCTCTTATCCCTGAAAGAAGCTGATTTAATTTTGTCGAGGAAAGAAGTAAGTTGAGAATTTTGTCGTAATTGGCATTATTAAGTTTCCCTAGATCTCTAACCAATGCCGAGAAGACTGAAAAATCAAAATGTCGAAAACCAATACCGATATTAAGACCCCTGTTGTCATGCTGAATAAGTCTGATTCAACATAATCTTAGGCTTCACCACGTTATGACAGATATTTCCGCAGGGGATTCGACTAGTCTTGATGTTGAGATCTTTAAACGCCGCAGCGCGTCTCGTTTACAAATAGCCCTATTTATTCTTCTAGTAACCCCTAGAAAATAACACGAAATACCTACCTCAAACGCCAGCCGGAGTGCAATTTCAGCCACTCGGACAC